ACTCCAGCTCAGCAAGCCTTGTGAACCTACTGAATGAAACTTACTTCACGTAAACGTCTGTACAGTGTATGCCACTTTATGTCACAAGCTATGCGAATTCGAGGTATTTGGAGATAGAAGAACGTTTTAACTTTACGTTAAGGAAAAAACAACAAGATATGTATTCGCCAAACTAAAACAATTATCTGGATCAAGTTGGGGTATGGATGGGACAGCACTCAGCACTATATACATAAGAGTTTCCTCCCGCTGGCTAGGCAGACTAAATACTAATGGCATAAAAATTTTTGCACAGGCCCAAAGGTTAGCTCTGTTAAGGAAGACCAAAGCGTATCGTACAACATTAAATGACGTTCTTCAATTTATTTCCAAAGCTCCACCCATCGATGTGCACCCAATTTTGATAACGACAGTGAGGAAGAAAACAATGGCCAACTCTCTGAAATACAGGGCTGTGATAAGAGACGCTCAACTCCCTCATGGAAGCTGACCAGTTGACGGCCAAAGCAAAGATGGAACTCGACAAGTGGCAAAATTGATGGTCCCACAGCGCAATGAGCAGAACCACTTTTGAGTACTTCCCAACAATACAAGTGGATTAACCGAACTTTTGGCTCTTCCAGTTCCTAAGGGGCCATAGAAAATTCAGGTCACACTTCCACATATTCCGCCTGCCAACTTCTGCAATCTGCGGAAGGATGGACGCGAACCAGGATATGGCAATCTGCGGAAGTATCGACGCGAACCAGGATATGGAACACGTCCTATTCCACAGTGCACAGTACGGAATCCACCGAGAGCCGCTGAAAAAAAATGTTCCAAAGTTGGCCAGCAAAAAGACAGAGGCTTGTGATAGACAAAGAAACCTAAGAAATATTCCACAGGGTTGTGACTGACATAGTGAACAAGAAGCATAGTTAAAGATTGAGTGATTAAAAGGGGGGGAATAATAAATATTTAGATTGCTAAAACAGTAGGCAAATCGGTTTGTTTCTCTCATTTACTTTAATATTTTCTTAAAATTTGTCGGAAAAAAGTTTTAAGTCTGCATATATGTACATAATATACCTATATGTGATAACCAGTTTAGCTCCTATTTATATTATCTATTTATTTAATTGCTGATAAAACCTATACGTATACTTGTGAGAGAGAAACAACAGAGGAGTACTCATTTGATTTATTTAAATTCAAAGCTCGTTTTTAAGTCCCTTTCCCCTCCTAATTCTCAGCAATCAGCTAGGAAATAGAAGGGAAGATTAGGCTCAAAAAATAAATTTAAAAAATTAAGTCTTTCATGTTGTATTAATTTTTTGTAGGCATCCGCCACTCCAGTTGGGTTTATTTTTCATATATTTATTCATGATTATTTAAAAAAATTCATTTTGAAGTTTGTTTATTTATTATTTATGTTATATCAGGATGTAATTAAGACAAGCCATCTTCACGATCCCATCCAATAGAAGTAGGTTGGTCGTTTTGGCGAGTATAACGGACAGTTTTGTCCTGATAATGTTACTGTTTTTGAACTTTCAATCATATATGTGAACGAATTATTCAGAACGTCGGGCTCCCAGCATGTATAGAAACAATTTTAAGCATGCGTGTAATAAATAAGTAAAATAAAAAATAATCTTTTTTACAAGAAAAGAAAAACGCGTTATCTGTGTAAAACCGACTAAGAAGAAATTTTTAGAAAATTGATTAAATTTTTACAGATTAATTTGAACTTGAATGTATAGCATGTAATAAATAAAATAAAAAATCCACTTCTTTTACAGGAAAAGAAAAACGCGTTAGCTTTGTTAATCCGAATAAGAAGAATTTTTTAGAAAATTGATTAGATTTTTATAAACTAATCTGAACTTGAATGTACAGCATTTTTTTTTCATTCTTCCTCCCCCGGTATGCTAATCGAATCTAAAACGTCGACGAGTTAAAAATAGAAGGGAAATACAACAAACATTCGTTTCATAAGAGACGATCCGATAACAACAAGTCGACCTTGTTCCACATAATGCGATCCGAAACTTGACGCTTTTGTCTATAGTTCGTTTATCTATGACCCATTGGATGCGCCCAGGACTAGTTGAAAAACAACTGTAATATGCTGAACGAAGATAAACAAAATTCAACCGAATGGCTTGTTTATTATATGATTCAGTGTCACAGTGACTATATCAAAGAAAACACCTTTAAAAAAAAAGCTTACGAATATTTTTAAAAATTTTATCCTGTGAGATTAAAATGAAATGTTTGGTGTGTTAAAACATTAAACCTGAGTGCTGAAGTTTATTCCAAATAAACAATTTCTTTCTGAGAAGTCGTATTCAATTCTTTGAACAGATAATAAAATTTATAGCCACTTTATAAACAAAATATACGTACGTTTGCTAGTTTAAAATCTTCCTTCATTAGACAATTAGGCCAAACGTACAACTTTCTCTAACATTTTTTAAAGTTGGATAAGGGTAAGGTACGAGCATCCTCTTTATTATATTTTATAGGCCAATTAAATTTAATTATTCAAACATAGATTCAAGTGGATTGCTTGAAAACGGCAATTTTCAAGTGAAACTGTCTTCCTTAACGTTCCATAGTTTCCAAAACTTATAAATAAATTATTTAGGTTTGGTTGCAGTAGAAAAATTTCTCTTGCATTCCAAAACCAAATTCGTCCACATGTTCCATATTAGCAGGCGATTGTTATTATAGTCTACTTAGACACAATTAGACCATGGTTGTCGGGAAATCGACGTCCCCCCGCAACCCTCGGCTACACTCTTAAAAAAAATTACATATGTTTAAACACTAGTCGAATGTTTTCGAAGAAATGATTAATTTTTAGACTTATCGGGCAAACGTGAATGCACTTCCGAAATAAAACATGGAGGTGGCGGGTTGCCAGGAAATCCTAATTCGTACAGGACCCCGGTAAACAACGGTGCAAAACCATATACGTGGGTGGACGAATTTGGCTACCGGTGAAAACTTATCGGCATATTAGAATTTTATTTTCGCCAACGTTTGGATCTAACGATGTAAGCTACACGATGTACGATTTAAAAAAAAAATGTGGACATTTTTTAATATCAATTCGAATGATGAATTTATCAGGAGGAAGTTGTATCAACTGGTGTGTGTGATATTTTTTATTTCTTACGCCCTAATAATCAATACTATTTATTGCAGTGTTATCCATTTCATAAGGGTTTTTTTTAAAATTCACAAACGTATCTAGAAAGCGAGAGGAATAAGAGGAAGATGGCTGTAGAAAGAGAATGAAAGAGGACAGTAAGTGAAGGAGAGGGAGAGAGGAGGAAAGATGGAGAAGGAATGATAGAGAGAGTGAGCGTATTTGGAAAGAAGAAAAAGGCTGAGGCTGAGAGTAAGAGCATGTTTGAGAGAGGGAGATAGAGAGATAAAAAGGGAGAAAGAAGGGAACAAGAAATTAAAATTTGAAAAAAAACCAGAGGGTTTATAAGAGAGTAGAAAAGAAACAGTGAGGTTGAGAAAAAGATAGCGAAGGAAGAAAGGGTGAGGGTGAGAGTGAGAGAGCGAGAGTGAGTATGTATGGTAGAAGGAAAGAAGCAGAGAGTGAAAAAAAGAGATAAAAAAGGGAGAGTGAGAAGGAGAAAGAAGGAAATAAAGTAAAAAAAGGTGTTTAAAAGAGTAGAAAGGCGAAGGGAGCAAAAAGGAGAGGGCGAAAGTTAGGGTGTTATGAAAGAGCCAGTTAGTGAAAATAGAGAAACTGTGTATGTGAGTGTGAGAGAGAGAGAGGCAGAAATACAAATTGAAATATACGACTAGATGGAGATTTAGAGAAAAAGGTTCTGGTCGAAAGAAAGAAGGGTGGGAAAAACAGATATATAAGATACATAAATAGATAAGAGTATAGGGAAGATAGCGAGAAACAGAAGACGGTGAGTGAGATCGAATGATGGTGTTTAGTAGAAGGAAAGGGGGTGAAGCAAAAGGGAGGAAGAGAAAGAATGAAAGGGAGTGAATGAGAGAACTCTTTAAGAACTTTTGATTATTTGTCTTATTATTCATACATAGGACAGTACGAAAAAATAGTGGAAAAAAGGTGGAGAGGGACAGAGAGAGAGGGGGGAGAGAGTGAGAGAGAAAGGGGAGAAGAAAATAATTAAGTGAAATAATAGAATGAGAGTAAGAAAAAAGGGGCTAACTTTAACCAGACCAAAGTCGAAACTTGAATAGTTTTCTTTATATTCTGTGGTGTTTTTCAATTCATTTTCATTCCTACCAATTTTAATTAAAAACAAACTCAATCACCAACGCCAACCCTGAAGATGTCGAGACGAAATGGGTTTTATTTTCATGAAATGATCACATTTTTAAAAGTCATAATTAATATATTTGCACAATATATTTTGATGGAAAATTGTATGGAAATGGTGGTTTAAAATTGGTACAATATTTGAACAGATGTATTAAAGAAATTTTTCGCTATTGACCTCACTGTTGATAAGCCCCATGCAATTTAAAAAAATAAAATAAATAGTACTTATCGTTTGATCTAAAATATAAAAAAGAAAAAATCTTTGGGGTTTTTGTCTGATTTTATTTTTAAATACTGGGACTGATAGTGAGTTTGTGGTTGTGAACCTTAGTGGATGAGAAAGAGTCGTGTCTTAAGGTAATATTTTCTAATTGATCTTTAACGCTGTAGAATGAAAAGATGGATGAGGTATAAAAGCAAATAAAAGTTTAGGGGATTTTTTTTAAGTTGGTTAAAAAGCTGAAACTTTTTTTTGCAAAGGTTGAGAGTTACGTTAAATCGCTGGATTCTAAAAGGCGATCGATCTACGCCGGCATGTGCAATACCTGGAAGGTCTGTGATACCTAGAGACCTCAGTAGTCAGTACAAAGGCAGGCTTCACAAAAAAAAAAAAAAAAAAAAAAAAACAACTACTTCTTGGTTGTTTTATTGTATTTATAGCATATTTATAATAAGATAACAAAAAGCTATTTATTACCTGGAGTCTGTCTGATGTGAAGAAATCCTTAGAAGAAGCAGGAAAATAAAGACAGAGTGTAGTGCCTTCGGAAAAGTCGAGTATGTAGGGAAAAATAACAAATCTAACACGCAGTAATTTAAATTTTGGGGTTTAAATAAATAAGTGAGATAATTTAGACGTAAGTGAGTGCGAAATGCGGAAGAGAACGGAACGGGTTTGTCTTGTGACGGACAGCTGATGAAAATGTTTTATTTGGGCTTGTTAGCCGGCTCGCAAGATGGGAAAATGGTCGTTGAACGAACAACGTGATCAAGCGCAGTCTCTTCGGGCCCTCTCGACTCGGACTGAATCGGATTTCGGAGAACGGCAGGGCGAAAGGGTGAAAAGGGGAGAAGGGGAGAACGGTGAACGGTGAATGGGCTCGAGTGGGGAACCCGTGCGGCGGATAAATGCAACTGGCGCACGCCGCACACCTACCGAGGCGCTTCGTCTATTCGAAAAGGGCTCGGCAGGGCTTCCACCCCGAGAACTAAATTATACCTGAGGCATAAAAAACAGTAACAACATAAGATTTCAATATTCATTAAAAATATACCAAGAGAAAAAAATCAAAAGAAAACTGTGCTGGTAGATTTTTTTTGTTCATTCATGCAATTTTTTGTTTTTCCATTCATTTCTCTTCGTTCAATGAATTGTTAAATCCTATAGAAATTAAGTACTTAATTTTATTTTTATTTACACATGTCAATGCAATAAGATTTAAATATACAAAAATTTCTTAACATGATATAATTTTTTTTAAATAGTAAAAAGTCAATCAACTTTATTGGTTATTTTTCGCCTGAATCCTCACAATGTCATAAACTTTATGGCAGAGTGGCTGAGCAGCTCTGGGGATTTACGAGGAATCCCGCAAAGCACCCTCTTTATTCTGAAAATTTAATTGTTAACAAATAATAATTAAATTAATGGTTATTGCTAATTGTCTGATGGGTGTGCCAGTGGAACATCCACACCCTTGAATCTATGTTTCTTGCTGCTGCACCCCTAAGAAGCCCGATTTGCCCAGTACCCAGTAAGCTAGTGATCGAAATTTTGAGCTAATCTACTGGCTCGTAAGAGTGCAAAAAGGTTGTCTATATTCGAGGCATCATCGCTTAATTTCTCTAGGGCCAAGAGGTTGCCTTCTGGTCTGGTGCCACCCTCTCTCACCAGGTGACCAGTGTGAACAAATTTCATCAGCTTCATTCAACTAGCTCTCATTGTTTTTTATTTTTTTTTTTACAGAAAATGCAATAAAACAGTCTTTCACATATTTAAAATGAGGGGTATAAAAAAACAAACAAGAAATCCGGGTTGTTTTTAATTTTTTGAACGTTTGGGAATATCAGCCATTCTTCAGATGCCCAGATGGGCTAATTCATGCTTAGCACTCCTCAAACCCATGGGCATTCATTCCTTCCAACAAATGTTCTGAATAGTATTGACCTTTAAATTAAGGCATCTTTGATTTTGTTGGAAAGAATGTTGGTTAGTCTGTGGGGTGCTAAGCCATATTTCAGCTGCTTAAAATGTGCTAATTGCCAATAACACCCAAAAAATAAAATCAATCACGAATATCTTGAATTTTTTTATACCCTTCATCTATAACTATATATAGGGTGTATCATCTTCTATAGTGCACCCATTTAATACGGAAACGATTAACTTGATCAAAACATACAAATCTCAAGATAATTTTAGCTAGGAATTGCGTGGTTGTAACAGATTTAACATAACTTTCTCATCTAGCTGGGAAATGACACTAACGTTGTTATTTTAAATAAGAATCCCATATTTTTATTGTACAATTCGATTCTAGAGCTTATTTTATGCCACATTTATTGAAAGGAAAATTTCGATTGGATCAACTATTTCCAAGTTATGCCTCAGAAACAGTCGATCCTATCAAAATTTTCCTTTCAGTAAAAGTAGTGTAAAATAAGCTCTAGAATCTAATTGCATAACAAAAATATGGGATTCTCATTTAAAATGATAAAGTTAGTGTCATTTCCCAGCTAGTTGAGAAAGTTATGTTAAATCTATTACTACCATGCAACTACTAACCAAAATTAACTTGGGGTTTGTGTAAAACGATTTTTTGCTAAAGCTAATTGTTTCTGATTTAAATGGGTGGACTGTATTAGTTGATAACCTTGTATACCTATACTATAACCTAGACAAAAAAAATTAGAAAATTAATTTTCATTTAAAAATAATTAATGTTGCCTAATTGTTTTATATCACTCCTCATATTTCCCCCGTAATACTAACTCCACGATATATCTACAAGTACTATGTACAATAAAACAACCCTATTCCTGAAAAACCAATACAGAAGACCCAAATACTCGCTGCCTAGCTCAAGCACAATTTTCATATTCCTACACACTCTCTATATGGAGCCAAGGAATGACACCTTTTAATTAATTAGGACATGTATTTCTAAGCTAGATACATAATTTGCTTTTGCCTGAAAGTGCCAGTGGGTCAACCACATATGGCCTATTCTTAGTTGTTTTTAGAGCTTCTCTGTCATTCTAGCCTGTCGATGCTTCTGTTTCCTTTTAATCGTATAAACCAGTGGTTTGGCCCAGAGGCTGGGATGTCTCACCCTTATTAGCAGCCTCGTTTCTTTTACTATTTTCATCTAATAATATAATTGTAAGTTTTTAATATCTTTATTACTTTTAAAACTTTGTAAACTTACCTGATTCAAATTATTGATTCTGGTAGGTCTATCTATAATACGAAATGAGAATAAAAAACTAATATTACTGGAGGTTATATTTCTGGAAACAGTATGTCTATATATATAATATAATATATATTACATATACTTTTTTTTATATATCACAATGAAATAATTAACTAACAATAATACAAAACTAACCCTTATCCAAAGAAAAAAATCTAAGGTTTGCAACTTTGCTGAAATACATAAATCATAATTTTTAATTTTTTGCAGATTTTACTTTATAATAATAACAACAGCTTTTTTTAATTTTATTATAAATTCAATATTCTGAAAGGCTTATAAATTAGAAACTGAAGTACAAAATAGCCTCAGTTTAATATACAATATAATACAAATTTTAAACATATTTATTGCTCCCTTATTATGCAAATTCATTTTTTTAAAATATATATATTTCATTATTCAATATCTGCGATTATATATCTATTTTTTTTTTTTTCAGTGCTGGATATCAATTTAACAGTTTATTTACATTAAATACAATAATATACAAAGAAATATTACGATTTAACTTCCTGATTAATAAAGAGAGCTGTACATCTAAGATGGAAAAGATATCAACTATAATGATGATGCGTGATGATTTAATTAATAAAGCACTGAATCTCCATTGCGAATCATCAAAACTTTTTATAATCTGTATTGCATTCGTCAACAACTATAAAAATATAATTACAACATGCTAACCAATGGACGGTCCAGATTCCTTACATTATAATATTAGTGACCCCTCTTTTTTTCTTTCTTTTTTTAAATATAATTTTTATACAACACACTCATTTTATAGTAAAAATATATTTATATATATATCAAAAACTCAAAATTAACTTTTAAAATTTTAAAAACAAAACAAAAAAAATTGACTTACAAAATTTATCATTATAGATTAAAAAATAATACTATGTAAATATATATTTATAATAATTTATAACAAAATATATATTTTATTTGATAAATTATCCAAGAATGGTATAAGCCTTTATATTTGTCACAAGTCACCCCAGTTTATAATCATTTCACAATGTAGTTAATTTGTTTAAAAAATTACATTCTATCTACAATAAATTTGCTTTTATACACTCGTGTATTGACATAACGTATATTATTTATTTGCAGCCCATTAGAAAACAGTTTATATACAGTACATATGTAAACCCTAGGCTTGTGCTGTTGTAGAATTACAGGTAATATACATTCCCTCTTTTAGAATTCATATATACAAATAAATTGTAATAAGGTAACCTGGAATACATGTTAAACAATGTAATTTTTTTTTAATTTGCTTGGGTGTTGGAATTATTGTTCTGGGTTGTCGGTGACCCGATATTGTCGATATCCCTTTGTGCCCTTGAAATTTTCACTTTGTCCTTAGGGGTTGATTCCTCCCCAGTTTCCATGGCGAACATCTTCATTTTCTCTTTAAAACTCAGCTTTTCCGGGACGGCGCCTTTGTTCGACAAGAGTTTCTGGTGTTGCTGCTCAGCGAGTCTTCTCTGCCTTGGATCCCTGGAAAACAAAAATGATTTTATAATTTTTTTTTTTTTGCCTTATGATCTTTGCATAGTAGCCATATTAGCAGAGGCGACGGTGGGAATCGAACCCACGACCGCGGCGTGAGAGTCTCTCATGCTAACCACTCGGCTACCGCGGTCCCCAAATATTTAATAATTATATATAATTATAATTAAATATAATATTTAATTGATACTTTTTTTTGTTAAGAATCTAATTGAGAGAAGAAGTATTAACAAGTATAAAGTCATACAATTCCGTGGGAATGATGAACTTATTTTCTGCACTCTTACATACAATTCATTTTTTAGTCACTTAATGTACTTAATAATTTTTCTGTACGGACTCTTCTAATTCCAAAAAACAAAATTCCATTCCTGAGTAGTATCCGTTTATGAACAGTGACTTCAACCAGAACCAGGAGAAATATGGGAATAAGAGACAATCATTGGGCTGAAAAGAACAGATAGTTCAATTTTCAAACAGAGCTACCTGGCTTAAAGATTCATAAAAATAATTACTCATTGAATCAGAAAAAAAGACTAAAAAATTCAATAATATCCTATAGTAATAAATAATTGTAAGGGCATTGATTTATCACTGTAAGAGTCACAGGTTCTAATTCAGGGCCTCTGGATACTTACAAATTTTTTTTTTCAAAATATTTCAAACCATCTCCCCAGGGTGGTGGGTATGTACTATACTACCACGGTATATACTACCACAGCTGCTGCAAAACCTCATCAAAAATATAACCCAATTTAATGGCTATGAACCTCATAACAGTCAGAATGAGTGAAACAATATGGTTGTGTACTACCTGAAGTATTGTATACAATTGGGCAAATTTTGGCTGTTCTTCACTTTTTATAACAATTAAAAAAAAAAAAAAAACAAAAAAAAAAAAACAATGAAAATTGTAATATTACTTACTTGTAAACTTCCTGGGCTCCGATTACACCTGGTGTGCTTCCTGTGAAGTTGATTTCTGGGCTAACAGGTGATGCAAGCATCGTCTCTGCTTCATTGATGAAGTGCTGCAATTAAGAAATTTTATTAAACTCAATTCTCCACGCAGATAATTTTTGAATTAAAAAAACAAAACTTACATTGGGATCTTCTCTGATATTTTCTAGAGGAGGTGCAGGATTTGAGGGTGGAGGAGGAGGTGGAGGTTCTTGGAATGAAACCCTTTTTGCCGTCGCGATCGTCGGAGTCGTGTTGTTCGTTGTAGGCGAAGTGTTCGAATTAGGGCTCCTCATTTGCCCCTGCGCGCACGACATGATCGCGAACGAAGAGCCTCGCTCAGGTGGCTGTGGCGGCCCATTTGGGCTTTGTCCTAGCATCATGTCCAATCTTTGGCCTAAAGCGAAAGTATTATTAACCAACTTTTTAAAACACTAACCATCCCTAAAACACTATAAAAACAACGTCCTTACCTGCAGGACTAGCTTGGCTTGAACTGTAACCGTTATTTTGATAATTGTTATTATTCGCTGGCGTGTTTATTACAAGGTTGTCCAATCTCAAATTTGAAGTTGTCGTCCTCATGCTTGAAATGTTCTGATTGTTCACAACTCTACTTGTCACTGTTTGATAAGATTGTATTCCCTGATTTTTATTTTCTTCTTCCATCTAACAAAAACCCATAATATATAAGAAATTCCTTCAAATTGAATCAAATTTAATATAAATTACTTTTTTCTTCATACGCTCGGCTTCAACTTCTGCCTGTTTCATTTTTAACTCTTTTAGCCTTTGCAGTCTTGCCTTTTCTTCATTACTTGCACTAAAAAAAAGTGTATAAAAGCAATTGACGATGGATTCATTTTGAATAGGCTTACTGTGAAAATGTCGGTGTGGCTGTCGCCATTATCGGTCGACTGATGGAGCCGTTTATCTGAGGACTTTGACCTGGCTGACTTGTCGGTATGTTAGAACTGGATGGCAATGTCCTCATTGATCTACGCTCTTCATTTTGGTGTGCTACTCTTAACAACCCCTGAACTCTCTCAGCGGTTTCCTTGACAAGAAATTAAAAATTGTAATAATAAAAAAAAAACTTATCTTCAATGTTTAATACACTGATGAAATATTTTATCATGTAATTTCATAATCTCCAATCATCTTGGTATACTATCACTGGTTTTGTCGCAAGATGGTTTAAATGGTCTCAACAGAAATATTAATTGAAAATAGGCAAAATACCTGATCTTCTTCTTCTTCCTCTTCGAGCTCCTCCTCTGCTCTTCTTTCAAATTCTCTTTCCAATTTCAAAGCTCTTAAATGCTCTTCTTGCTGAGCATTTCGGACGGGTAGGTTCAGTAACTCGCTGATCTGCTGGTCCCTCCAATGTCTTGCCATATCCCTCTTCCTTTCTGCTTCCTATAAATATTTGTTGTTTAAAAAACAGTTAAATGCTTTTTTTCCATTGACTCACTCTTTCTCTTTCTTCTCTTTGCCAGGGGTTACCAGGAAAATAGTTTTTGTTTTGTTGTGTACTGGGTGAAGTCGAGTAGTACGCTCCTCTCGGTGGTTCTCCGCCACTGGCAGCGTATCTGAATAAAATTTTTAATTTTATATTTTTTATGTTATACCAGGCTTAATTGAAAGCCTACCTTGAGTCTGATCGTGGCTGCTGCTGATAAAGCGGATGAGTGGACGTAGGTGGAGGAGGTGGCGGTGGTGGGCTGTCAGAATAATCGTGTTGCTGGGTGCTGTTTGTCATTTGGAAATTTCCATCGCTGTATCCACCCGTGTATCGCAACGGGGATCCTTGAATTGGTCCTCCAATCTAAATGAAAATGAAAATAATGATATTTAACTGTTTTAAAGATTCTATTGGCTATTTTTTTTAAACTTAAATACATACAGGAGTTCGTAGTTGTGGTGAGGTAACTCTCATTTCCCGTCTTCTAACTTCTTCAGTCATTTCTTGAATTTTTGCTTCTTGCCTTAACATATCTCTGGAAGACTGAGAACGAGAAGTCATACCCTAAAAAAATCAATTTTATAAATATTTATGCATTGAATAGGTTTTAAAAAATGTTTTACTTGAGGTGGAAGTTGGGATGAATAGTTATTTGGAAGATAAGCCGACGCAGGTCTGTCTTTAGAATTCAAAGCGTCATTCGTATTCCTGCTTTGTAGAGAAGACTGAGAACCTCTGAAGCCTTTTTGCATGTTGATCGCATTCCTCTCGTCTTGGGGACTCGGCATTTTTCCCCTTCCTATTCCGTTTTGAGGTGGAGGATAGCCGTTGTGCACCTCTTGGTTTCTGTAAATGCTCAGATTCTGGTAGAATCTTTCACCGTTGTCACCGACGGGGCTATTCTGCTGCTGAGGAAGGTGCATGTGCTGCTGCATCTGATACTGGGGATGAGGTGGACCTTGCTGGGCCGCCAGCTGGGAGTGATGGTGATACGGGCCCATCGGCTGTTGATGGCCGGCATACGGTGGCTGGTGGTGGTTGTAGTTATTTGGTACAAGACTAGGGTTGGAGGGCTGCCTCTGATTGACGTGATTGCCTTGAATAGGATTCAGGCGTTGTTCTGCCAAATTCTGATTTGATCTTAAAAAAACAAACAGAATTTAGTATTAACAACATTTTAACCATAATTAGAATAAATCCTTTAATTACCTTGATCTAACTTGATGTTGATTTGGATGAGGCTGTCCTTCAAATGATTTCTGAGGGATGCTGTTCGTAGACGATGTTCTACTATAACCAGGGTTAAAAACTTCATGGTTCGGTCTAGGCATTGTACTATTCCCTATAATTGTTTGATTCATGTTCACCAATGGTCTTTCTAATTCGTGGTTTCCGGCTGGAAAAATTGTGAAAAATTAGGGAGAAATTTTTGGCCAATTTTATCAATAAGACACTTACTGTTTAGGGATGGGACTGACTTAGAGCTATGCATTTGCGGTGGATGTGGAGGAAGCTGCCCTCTTGCCGGTTGAGTTTGCTGCTCGCTAAGCACACGTGAAGGTAAATCCCGTTCGCTCATCCTCCGTGGGCCTTGAGAAATAAAGCATAATTAATTTTTTTATTTAATTTTCAACTTCAATAAAAAAATAATAAACAGAAGGTTTGATTTTATGGTAAATCAGTTTGATTAATTGTGCTATTTTTTAAACATATTTTGATACATTAATTGTCTGAAATTCAACCCTTCTTTTATAAACATTAAAATTCATGCATTCATGCCTATAACAAATGGAAAAATAAATTGGGTAACCAATATTTTGATAATGAGAACACAATTGTGGACAATTAAATGAAAATGTATATTTATATTTAAAAAAAAAAAAGCAAGTTTATAAATAATAAAACCAAAGACAATAAATGAAATAAACCATGCGACAATTATTAAAAAAGAACGAACGAAAAATCAGCGTGCTTTCAAAATAAAATAACGAAAACTCTGCTTGCACAACATTTAGAAGCAAAACTAGTTCTCACAGCTTACGGCTCTCGTCAAGCTCAGTATTTTCTATCACTCCAGGATCTAGGCTTCTGCACCAGAGAGTATTTGAGTCATGATTGTTCTTGCCGATTTGGCTCAACCTGACCGGAGTGACGACAAAACTCCTTTGAAGCTCCAACTTTTTGATTCTCTTATTTTTCCTCCCTTTGATCGCGTCTAGCTTTGATTTTCGTCTAAGGACGTCTTTGGCGGAGCCGAGATCAAGTTTCTCTTTTTCACGGAGCTTCTCAGACCATCCAGGATTCCAGCCGGCGTCGTCGACACTCATCCAACGTTTCATATTCTTACCGACATTCTCGCCTATATAAGCTTTGTGGATATTTTCTGATGTGCAAAAATTGCTCACGGAACATTTCGTTTGTGAATATTCTACCGGTGGTAAATCAACGGTATCGAGATTGCCCACTTCGCCCAGTTCGACAAGACTGTAATGCTTGTGGACGGCAGAATTGTTGATTTTTTTCCTCATCTCCACTTCATCAACACTGATCGATTTCCTGTTTATATCTAATGGTGGTGGTTTCTTCCTAAACTTATTATTAATAATTTTGAATTTATTGTTTGCTAGTTTATCATTTTCACTGGACTTTAATGGCCCGTACTCATTTGGACTTGTCTGTGTTGACAAGGTTGAGGTCTTCACATCTTTTTTATTCAACAGTGTGCTCAAAATTGGTTTTACTTCTTTAATAACAACTCCATGTCCTATATCTATCAGTCTATCCATGCTAAACCCTACCGGTTTAAGTCCATCTGTGTGTAAGACTAAATTGTAATTTTCTGAATTGGTGTCGAAAGCAGAAGGTGGCAAAATGGTATCACCAGGTTTTGGACTCATTTCATTATCACTGGAGTTGATATTTGGCTCAGATTTGAACCGATTGAGCGTTCTTCCAGTTTTTCCTCCTCTGCCCCTGATTATACCGGCTTCTCCCATTTGGGAGTAATACTTGGCCAGAGCCGCTACACGGCCGCTGCCGTATTCAAAATCGCCATCATTTGAACTCGAACACGAAGAACTAATAAGAATAAGAGAAGCCGTTGATGGTTTTTCAGTCATTTTTTTCTCACAGATACCTGTTTCTGATAACATTGATGACAAAAAGTTTTCCTTTTCTTTTTGAACAATTGAGTTATTACAATTCGCTGTATCATCTTGTTCTTCTGTTTCTTCTATAGGACCGAAGCCTTTGTTGCCAAATTCTGTTATTTTGCTCATGCCATTTACTATCTCTTCTAATTCTTTCAATGCTTTTTCTCTTTCTTCAATAGTCAGCTTTGTGTTATTCGTGTTTACAGATCTGTCTACCCTTTTAGGTCTGGATTTTTTTTCCGGGGAAGTATCAGAAGGCGATTCTGTAGATTTAGGTGATGTGGAATTGTTGTTGCACTCACAATCGGAAGAACTGTAAATAGTTTCTAATAAGTCTTCTGCAGATTTAGAACGTTGCTCTGAGTCTAAATTATTCTTAAGCTCCCAAAAACCGGATTTTGTTAAATAAATATCACTTTTCCACATTTTAGTGCCTGCAAGAGGAACCCATTTTCCTTTTGGAAAATTTGGATTGTTAGCTCTTCCTAGACTCAAATTTAACCATTCTGGTGCTTCTAAATCATTATTTAAAGGGAAACGTATAACATCTACTTTATTTGGAAATGCAATGATAGTCCTTTGAAGGGAAGCCGAAGCGTCTTCTGAATCACAATTGACCAACCTAGCCTGATGTTCTTGAAAAATATCATCTTTAAGACCTAGATCGTTCTCTGGTGGGATTTTGTAACAGTTGACATTTTCAACTGGGACGGACAGCAGATTGTTCTGTGATATCGACGAAGTACAAGGAGGGGGTGGAGTGGTCGTTATTATAGGCACTGTTATCCGTAGGACTGTAGGAGAGCCGGGGCGAGGTGGTTCACACCGTTGTGGGATAAAGTAAGGACCTTCTCCTGAATAATCATTGTAACCGATAAGCGGCTGTTCCCTAAAACTTCCCATTGACACACTTTTTGGAATCCCTGCGAAACTCTCCAATCCCAGTGACAAGTGTGCAGGAGCTGTAATCATTGTTAGTACTGCATTAGTTCATGCAAAATTTTTATATCAAATGAAAAACAGTCTGTGTGTTAAATATAACAATAACCAGTGTTATTTTTAATTAATAAAAACACCCCAAATGCCATCTAAAACCATCTCATACATATATTCATTGATTAAACCCTTCAAATATGTTTATTAAAGCATTTTATCATTTTAAAAATTCCCTCAGTATTGTAAAAACTGGTTGATTTTCCACAGTTAAAAGTTAGATTACATACCCCTTGCCATGACTGGAGAAGGTTGTGATAGAAGTGTTGCCAAGCCGTGATAGATGGCTCCTTGCTTCGCCACCTCCAGAGTTACAATTGGCCCAGTCCTTACGAGATATTCTGCAGCCCTAAAAAAATGAACACCGCATTGATAAATGACATTTATTTAAACAAAGTTGACCATAAATCATCAAGTTCGTACTTCTCTTGAGTTATTCCGACCAAGCTTTGCCCGTCGACTTTCAATAGTTGGTCTCCGGCTTGTAAACGGCCATCCTGGATTAAAACGTTCAAGTTACAGCATAATTTTGTCAACAATAATATAGTTAAATATTTATTTAAAAAAAAATCTTACAGCATCTGCAGCACCACCTTTGACAACAGATTTGATGTAGATTCCCAATCTGTCTTGACCAGCACCCTAAAAGAAAAAAAAAAAAAAAATAAGTAGGTTTATTCACTCAGACGAAAATAATAATAATAATAAAATAAAATAAAATAATAAAAAATAAATTGGACACTTCTATTTATTTATTTATAATTTTTTGTTTTTGTTATTTATTAGTTAGTTTATTAATTTTTTAAATATTTATTTTCTATAATAACTAGGTTTATAAATTAATTCCAGAGCCAACTTCCAAGAGAGTTAATTTTTTAAATGGTTTTCTTTGATGAAAAAATAAATTTGAGTAAAAAAATTTTTCTTTTAAAAACATGGTTTAAGTTGAGAAGATCTCGCGTGAGCCTATGCTTTGTCCAAAGAAGGAATATATGTTTAGCAGCCATAATTGACTGTATTAACTAATCTATCATTATATGATTTTCAGCAGTTTTGGTGAAAACCATGAAATTATGGTGTTTCGAACCATTACAATTAAAATCCATATATGTTTAGCAGCAACTGACCGTATTTATTATAATCTATCACTGAATAATTTTCAGGACTTTTGGTGAAAACCATGAAATTATGGTGTTTTAAACCGTCATAATTAAATAATAACCAACCCACGACCTTCGGTCTAATAAAAATACATACAGTTTGAGATAGACAACAAAATACGAGTGTCCGTTTCAAATTATGTCAAGTTGGTACAAAATGTAAGCATATTATTTAAGAATATTGCCTGCCAGTTGCCTGAAATAAATCTTCTTTCATGATATGCCCGTAAAGTATAAAAAACTAATGCTTCTGTTTTTTAAATTTATTATTATCCAAATAGATAAGTAGCCAAGAGGTTCATACGTCATGAATATTTAGAAGATAAATTTGTACTGTTTGTTTCTTTTATCTTGTAAATTACAGACCGCCATTAGTGGATAATGGTGTGTAAAAATAATCCAGAAAAAGAAATCCCACACTTTCTCAGATCAAAATGGAAAAATAAGGATCGTTGAATGTAAGAACAATTAAAAAAAACAAGACAACGACACATTTCAGCAAGCCTGGGAGGAAGGAGCGGTCACTTCCTGTGATAAGGTGCCTTTGTCCGTCCTTTTTCACTCAGGAGTCAGGACCCATTTTCTTCCATCCAGGTAATAACTTTATCAGGGTGATGGAAATCAGAAATGAGGGCGTGGTAGAGATCGGGGTGAGAGGAAAGGTAAATGACAAAGGAGGCGTCGGTTGATAGAACCTAGTTGTGCCCCTAATAGTGTTACTGGGTATGCAAGAATGCGTCTGCCACGCCCTGGCTCCCATACGACGCGGGTGTTTCAGACGATTTATGGGAGCAAAGCTGAAAAGGTCGCATGAAAAAACAGGGCCGGGTTCTCAAGAAATATCGTGGATGCGATTTTCAAAAACGGAAGTCCGATATTGAAAGCCAAACGCGCTAAATTTACAAAAATCGTGGCTATAGTGTATAGCATTAAATTGAAAAAGAAACACTTGTTTATGTTAGATCAGCATATTCTTAAGTTATGATATTGGTTTTAGGAGTTCCTGCAAGTACAGATATATTTTGTTTATTTAAACAGCGACTTTTCAGCTTTAGTCCGTTTGGCAGTTTTTCCTCAGAATGGATTGATCAGTCATGGAAGAGCAAACAGGGCACGTTTTTGTATACTATACTACATTATATACGAAATCAGTTTGTTTATGCGATAGATAGATGTAATAGACCGGGTGCATATTATTCTGCGCCTTTTAAGAGCTGTTGTTTATGCGACCAGCAGGCCATTTCTGGTCCGCCTCTTCTCGCTCTTCAATTTCAAAGCCGTTGACTAAGTGAAATCGTGAAATCGCAGAAATGCCAGGTTTCTTAAAGTAGCAACACCCTGGTCCGTTTGTTCTCGCTGTTCGTTACCCGGCTTAACAAAAAGGGTGAAGTTCAGGCTTGGCAACATTACAGCATAAAACGTGGTGGATCCTAACGGAAGGGCATTTAATTTAGGCTGTTATTTTGCAATTACGATTTATTATTTACGACCAGCATGTTTTAAATATCTGGTCAGTAAGTTCTCGCTGTTCCTTCTAATAAATGATTGACCTGATGAAAGTGCAAAGTTAGCAGGTTTTTGTATAACGCGTCAAATATGAATCGGAAATGCCAGGGCGAGGACATTTAATCTCTTCATCTCTGGTCCGCCTGGTCTCGCTTTTCTTTCTCAGAATGGATTGACCAGTCATGGAAGACGAGATAGTGAAAGTCTTTGTATAATATATTGTATCTCATACGACAGCAGTTCATGTAGTCAGCAAGTCATTTCTGGTCAGTCTATTCTTTCTTTTTTCTCAAAGTCGCTGCCCAAAAGAAATGCAGAAATGCCAGGTTTCTGAAAGTAGAAATATCCATGGTCCGTTTTTTTTCGGTGTTTGCTATCAGGCCAAAAATTGTTAAATTCAGGGTTCGCCTAACGTGGTTATCCTAACGGAAGGACATTTAACATAGGCTATTTTGTAAGTGCAACTTATTATTTGTGTATACGACCAGCAGGTAATATAGTCGTCATGAAATATGGAAGTGCAAAGTTGGCAGATTTTTCTACACCACATTTAATATAACATTAGACATCATGCATCCTATGGCAAGGATATTAAAGTTTCATTTGTGGTCAATGTATTTTCGCTTTCTGAGAGGATTGACCACCATGACGGTGTATAATTATTTTAACAGGGAGTATTGACTCTCGAGATTTATGCTTCTGCAGCATTTTGTTCACATCTTTGGACTGTTCTAGCTGTACGTTTTCCAAAGAGACAGACCACATAACGATTGACATCTTTACCGCATCTGATGAAACATATACATGAATATTAATTCATTTATGTCTAGTGGTTTAATTGACCAAATTACTTATTTCAATTAATTATTCTTTTTATGTAAGATCTCGGTTGAGATGAAAAAGTGCCTCGAGCGGGATTCGGACCCACCCTAGCAGAAGGTCGTGGGTTCGAATCCCGCTCGTGACACTAACCTTTCATCTCAACCGAAACCTCACATAAAAAGAATAATTTGTTGAAATAAACATGAATATTTATTCTAACACGTGGACGTTTAATTTAGCAACTTTAGTGAACTCTAGCTCTTTTTTATCACTGCGGTACGCCTGTTATCGCTGTATCTTCACCCAAGGATGTCACGAAATGGTATGTCTGCCAGTCAAAACCAGAACGTTTATTACTTCAGATCCCCCAATAAAATGTTCAAATAGAGACGGTAATGTAATAAAAAATAAGGGAAATGATATATAATAAAACGGATAGTAGTCTTTGATTTGCTGTCCTAATAGCTCACAGGTCGTGAACAAGAGCGAAAGCTGAAGAAAGTAAACGACAAGGAGCGCATTAAGGAAAATCGACGCATTTAAGCTGTTCTGTTGATACGGCATGCTTTGTTATTTGCATGTTTTGAAACTGAAATCTCTCTATCATATTGTAAACTGTTTAAACATACATTTCCTATACATATTTGGTTCGCTAGATTAGATTTTTTATGGCCACGAATTTCAAAACAGTGTTTTCTCCATGCTTTGACTATGACCTCAGCTAAGCTGTGCATGGCTTATGTGCCGATAAAATCGTGCAACATCAGCACTGACAATATGGCGAATATCCCGATTCAATCCGTTAAAGTTTAAAACGAAGAAGTACTTTATAATTGAAAAAATATTCTTGAAAATGGGGAGTCGCGCTCCAGTTGCACACGGCCCCAATATCCAGCACGTCGGAACAAAAGAGTTATTTGCCATCTCCTGGCAATTAGAAAGATTTATTAACCTGAGGCTTTGTGGGAATGGGCGCCTTTGGAACTGTTAATGAGACAAATCCTTAAGGATCGAGTCACGAAAGCCAAGAAATTGTGTCATTTAAAGAAGCTTTAGAATTAAAATTATGAGGTTGAATTTAACCTGCTATTGACAGACTGGGTCCTATTCGTGCTTCTTCAGCCTTTAGACAGGAGTTAGGTTTTTCGATTTGGAACCTTTTTTACTGCAAAAAGGTATACTCCGGTGACGACCCGTGTACAAAAGTATATTGTTAATATACCGTAAACCGCCTCGGGAAAGACTCCTGACGACCGTTACACCTTTTTCTTCGTTAAAGGAGCAACATGTGGAGGCCATTATTACAATCGGCGTCTCAGACCGGAACAAGGCAGCGGTTTATCCCCGGCACATCCGTTCTCAGCAGGAAAGGAAAAATGGAGAGAAAAAGTATTCGACCATACTATCTAAGTTTTAGCATTTTTCCAATGGCGGATGCCACAGGAGAAAATGCCCAACGGAGCGAAAAAGAAAACCGACAATAATGGACTTCAGAGAAGGGGATGAATTTTTATAAACTGTTAACAGTTTTAATTGAAACTTAATTTATTTCTTTTCCCTCTCTCTTTCCATCTACGACTTTTGAAATATTCTGATAACCGAGCTGAAAATAAAGCATGTAATCTAAACATAAAATTGAAAATAAGATGATTAACCAGGCTAAGTGCCGAGAACAAACCACCAACGGACAACGAACAAATATCAGGTTTATGGCAAGACTTGTTGAATGCTCATGTAACTATGCAAGTATGAAGTCGTTATAAGAATTAATGTAATCTTGAAGACTGATGTACCTACGCAAAAATGAATGGGGATGTTACGGGTACTTGTGTAGCATTCAGGACTGATAATAATACTTACTACGTAAATTTGTATAAAGAAGTTATGTGTATTGATGTAACATTAAATACTGATGTACGTGTGCAAGACCGTATGATTTGCGCGTTTTATGTACCACCGAATACTGGACCTATGTAAGTTTGTATGACGACAAATTTACGTTCATATACTAAATATACGTACGTATATTTATACGTTATGTATGTATTTATATAACATTGAATACTGATGTACCTATGTAAGGTTGTCAGTATTCAATATTACGTAAATACGTTTAAAGTCGTCATACAAACTTCCAATGTACATCAGTACTCG